AAGAAAAAGACTTCAAGAAAGAAGATAGACATATCAAGTGACAGTCTTAGTGAATCTGATTCGCAGAATGAATTGAAGAAAGTAAAGAAAAGGATTGAGAATGAAGAGTGGAAAGTGATTGTGGAGTTTGGTGAGCAATCCGCAGCTAAGCTACATCCAGTGGCCCTGACTAAAGCGATTCACAAAGAAATTGATCGATAAAGCAAGCAAGATTTCTGAGCAAAGGACGGATGTTGGTTGAAATGAGGAATGCAAAACAACAGGAAAAGTACTGAAAATGAAGACCCTGAATGAAGTTCGGATTAAATGCCATGTTCCTGGAGCAAATCGGAACAATACTTTGGAGTTATCAGTGGAGTTCCGATAGAAATATCGGCATAGAAGAACTCAAGAAAGAAATTGAAAGGGGGAAAAGTGTCTGTAGTTAAGCGTCTTCCTACTAGGTATCAGGGTAAGCTAGTGGATAGTTTGTCTGTTCTTCTTCAGTTTGAAGAAACATTCAACAGAAGATTATGATCGGTTGCATGAGCTTTCCAGTAAGAGAATTCATCCCAACCTTTGCGGTGCTTTAAATGCCAAAGGTTTGGGCATGTGGCAGACAAGTGCAAAGCAAACTAAGCCCAGGTGTAACATTGAATATGGTAGTTGTGCTGCAGGGGCTAAGGTGAAGTTGTAACTGTGGGGGGGAAACATAGTGCTGCGTATCAGGGCTGCGAAGTGCAGAAAAAGGCCAAGGAGGTGGCAGAGATACAAAGTGCAAATAAAGTCCTCATATTCTGACAGCAACAGAAAAGGTATCACTAAAAATAGCTAGGAAATCCCAAGTAGCAGCAAGTATATTCTCTTTCAAAAGATTTTCCCCAACTCCCACAGGCAAAGGAAAGCTCCACAAAGTGTTCACATAGTGTGTGATAGGAGAGGATGCATTGATTGTTATAAACTACAAATTGTGGCCTTTATTGGAAAAGTGGTGAATGTTTGCTTTGCAACAAACAAAAAAGAGGTCAAGATCTGAAAACAATAGTGGAAGCAGCAGGTGATTTTGGGAGAAAGAATATAACGGTTTGAAATGATACATTGATATGCTAGCCCCAATAATGATGATTCACAGATTAGTGAATATGATTGATGGTTTTTCTCATTCTGCAGTGGAATGTTTGCAAAGGACAAGAATTCAAGACCTATATATATCAGTTTAAAAGAACAAACCAGACGTTATTTGGTATTCAAGAAACATGGCTGAAGAATCATTTGGACTTCTTATTGGGGGATATAGTGCTATAAGACAAGATAGAAATGATGGTCAGGGAGGGGGATGTGCAATCTTTATCAGAGAAATAATGTCTTATAGTAGGCTAACATTAAGAACAGTCAGTGATTTAGAAATAGTGGGTGTAGAAGTTTGGATTAATAAAAGGAATATTAGTGTCCTGAATTTTTATAATCCATGTAATAAACTCAAAATAGAGGAATTAGACAGTCTTTGTCAAGGAAATGAAATAATATGGTGTGGTGATTTTAATGCACATAATACAATGTGGGGAGGGAGATCAACAGATTACAACGGACAGGTGGTGGAGGACTTAATGGAGGCAAATGAATTAGTTTGTTTAAATAATGGGCAAGGTACAAGACTCAATTTTAGAGATGGAACAGAGTCTGCGATCGATCTAACTCTGGTAACAAGTGAATTAGCTTCTGGTAGCAGTTGGGAAGTATTGGCAAATAACAGTATTGGGAGTGATCATCTTCCGATTATAATCAAGTTTGATATAAGTAATGTGGTTGAGCTAGACGGTATCATGAGATGGACTTTTTCTAAAGCAAATTGGGAGATGTTTGCTAAATTGTGTGATAATGAATTTGATCAGATTGATATGGCAGGAAGTATTGATGATATAAATGAGCAATTTACGTCAAATATAATTAAAAGCGCTAATCAATCTATTGGGAATAAAACTGGTAAACTTAGTAAATGTGTTAAGATGGTACCGTGGTGGAACCAAGAATGTAATGATGCAATCCGAAACAAAAACAGGCTGTTTGGAAAGCTAAGAAAGACACATTCATTACACAATTTATTAGAATATAAGAAGGCACAGGCTCAGGTAAGGAAAATTGTTAAAAGAGCAAAAAGGGAGTGTTGGAGAGGATTCTGTTCAAGTATTGGGAGAACTACGCCATTAGATAAAGTATGGGGAATGATTAAGAAGATGAGGGGAATTAGACAGCAGAGTAACCTGCCTGTGTTAGAGCATGGAGGGGAAATTGCCACTGGTGCTATGGAGAAGGCAGACATTCTAGCAACACATTTTGTCAAAGTTCATTCTTCGGAAAATTTGACAGAAGAAGGTAAGATCAGGAGGCAGGAAGTGTTAGATGAACATCCTAATGTATATGAAGAAAGACATTCGTCGCAGAGTGTTGTAAATGTACCTTTTTCTATTCAAGAGTTGAGAAGAGCATTAAGTAAGTGTAAAATGACTGCTCCTGGGAAAGATAATGTATGTTATATAATGTTGACCAAATTAAGTGAGTTTGCATTAGGAAAGCTGTTGGAGATGTATAATAAGATTTGGGAGAAAGGGAAGCTGCCAATAATATGGAAAGAGTCTGTCATTATTCCTATTAGAAAACCTGGGAAAGATCCAACTAGTCCAGGCAGTTATAGACCTATAGCTCTGACATCGCACTTGTGTAAAGTTATGGAAAGAATGATAACAGAAAGGCTGACATACTACGTTGAGAAAAATGAACTAATGACTCCTTATCAGAGTGGGTTTAGAAGAGGGCGGAGTACTTTAGATCCACTGCTGTGCCTGGAATCTGAAGTTAGGAAAGCCCAAGCGAATAAGGAGTGTGTTGTAGCTGTATTCTTTGATGTGGAAAAAGCTTACGATATGAATGTGGAAGGAAGGATTATTAATAAAAATGGACATTATGGGTCTGGGAGGGTAATGTATATAATTGGATTATGGATTTTTTGTTTGGCCGTGCCATCAGAGTCCGAGTTGGCAATTCTTATTCTCGAAGGCATGAAGTTGAAAATGGAACCCCACAGGGGAGTGTAATTAGTCCTCTTTTGTTTTCTATCATGATAAATGATATATATACACAAGTAGGATCTGATATCGGTAAGTCACTTTTTGCAGATGATGGAGCTATTTGGAAAAGGGGCAGAAATGTAAATTATATTGTAGGTAAGATTCAGGAAGCCATTACGGAAATTGAAAGCTGGTCTCTGACATGGGGGTTTAGATTGTCGGTGGAAAAAACTGAAACTTTATTTTTTACGAGGAAAAGGATAGGTGAGGAGGTTAGGTTAAAACTTTATGGACAAGAACTAAAGAAAGTGAAGACATTTACATTTCTGGGAATATGGTTGGACGAGAGAGTCACATGGAGTACTCACATTGATAAAGTAGTAGATAAATGTAAAAGGGTTTTAAATGTTATGAGGTGCTTGGCAGGCACTAAGTGGGGGGCTGATAAAGCTGCTTTGAGGAACGTATACACAGCCTTAATTAGATCAGCCATAGAATACGGACTAATAGTGTATGGTTCAGCTGCATACTCTTCTCTTCAAATATTAGATAGAGTCCAGGCACAAGCACTAAGGATATGCTGTGGGGCAGTCAGATCTACACCAGTGTCGGCACTTCAGGTAGAGGTCGGAGAAATACCAATTTCTTTGAGGAGAAAACAGTTAATTGTTAATTACTGGGCAAATCTACAGGGCCATAAAGATACTCACCCTACTAAACAAACTGTAAAAACAAGTTGGGAAAGTAACAAAATGAAAAAAGAAAGTTTTTGTGTTTGTGTTTCGGAATTATGTAAAGAATTCAAAGTTAAAGAATGGAATATTAGTCCGACGGTGTTGTTATCAGCTGTTCCACCATGGTTGCTACCTCAACCTATAGTAGATTTATCTTTATTGAAAAGGTTACATTCAATGAAAAACAAAATTAATGTACAGGCTTATGTGAATACTGTTCTACATGAACAATATGGGCAGTTTATACAAATATTTACTGATGGATCCAAAAATCCAGAAAATGGTCAAACTAGTTGTGCATTTTATGTTCCTGAATTAAAAGTAAAAGTGGGAAAGCGGACGAGTGATCACATCGCAGTATATACAGTAGAGATGATGGCTATCTCACTAGCACTTCAGTGGGTAGAGGAAATACAGCCAATGCGAGTGGTCATTTGCTCTGACTCCAGTGCAGCTCTGGAGAGTATAAACAACTTCTCTTCAGAATGTCGACAGGATATTTTACATGAAATTTTACACATCATGTTTAGGTTAGTTCATCTGGGAATTGTTGTTCAATTTGTGTGGGTTCCAGCGCATGTGGGTATTAGAGGGAATGAAGTAGTGGATCAACTGGCAAAATGTGGTTTGAAAGCAAACCAGATTGATATTATGGTACCCATCAGTAGAGCAGAAGTCAAATCTGTTACAAAAGTTGTTATCAAGCAACAATGGCAAAAACTATGGGACAGTAACACCAAAGGAAGACATTTATACCAGATACAAAGGGAAGTAGGAACGGGAAGCACTTGGGGGAGTAGTAGAAGAGAACAGAGCATTAACAGCAGGATAAAAGTGGGTCACTCTGGATTAAACTCATCACTGCATCTGATTGGAAAACATCCAAATGGCAATTGTGATGGTTGCCAACAACCAGAGACAATACATCATGTATTTTTTAGCTGCCCGGATTATAACAGACAAAGACTCATTCTGAAAACTGCACTGGAACAACTCAACATCAAGGACATGGATTTCAAGTCAATATATGAAAGTAAATCAAGAAATGAAGCAAACAAGTTGATCTTCAAATTCCTCAAAAGCACTGGTCTGAGGACAAGGATTTAGTATAAACATTTAATAAACCAACAGTAGGTGGCGATATATGCTCCAAGTGGAAGCGATTCGCCATTAAAGAAAAGAAGAAGAAGAAGAAGAAGAACTTGCGCTGAGCTTCATTTCCTGTCTGCTGTGTTGCAGCTTCACTCAGAGACAGCATGGCTTCCAGGTTGGAGGAAGATCTCTGCTGTCCGGTCTGTAAGGACGTCTTTAGAGATCCTGTCTTCCTGCCCTGCTGCCACAGCTTCTGTAAAGCCTGTCTGCAGACCTGGTGGACGGGGAAAGAAGTACAGGAGTGTCCAGTCTGTAAAACAGAATCTTCAAGAAGAAATCCCCCCTGTAACCTGGCTTTAAAGAACCTGAGTGAGACCTTCTTACAGGAGAGAGATCAAAACCACAGATTCAGACCCATGGATGAAGCTGTTCAGGATCTCAGGGAGGAGCTCCAGAAAGCTCTGCAGCCCTTTCAGGAGAAACTGAAGCTCTTTGAAGAAGTTAAAGTGGAGTTTGATCTAACAGCAGGACACATGAAGGTCCAGGCTCAACACACAGAGACGCAGATCAAGGAGCAGTTTAAGAAGCTTCACCAGTTTCTAGAAGAGGAAGAGGAGGCCAGGATGGCTGCACTGAGGGAGGAAGATGAGCAGAAGAGGAGGATGATGGAGGAGAAGATGGAGGCTGTGAGCAGAGAGATAGCAGCTCTTTCACACACAGTCAGAGCCACAGAGAAGGAGCTGAGAGCTGGAGACGTCTCCTTCCTGCTCAACTACAAGGCTGCAGTGGAGAGGCTGCAGCGCCCCCTGCTGGAGGATCCTCAGCTGCCCTCAGGAGCTCTGATAGACCAGGCCACACACCTGGGCAACCTCAGCTTCAACATCTGGAGCAAGATGAAGGACATGGTGTCCTACTCTCCTCTCATCCTGGACCCAAACACTGCTCATAGAGGACTCGTCCTGTCTGAAGATCTGACCAGAGTGAGACGAGAGGAGAGAGACAGAAACTTCCTGATAATCCAGAGAGGTTTGATTATGATTTCTCTGTCCTGAGCTCTGAGGGCTTTAACTCAGGGACTCACAGCTGGGATGTCCAGGTTACAGACAGTACATTCTGGGCACTGGGTGTGTCAGCAGAGTCTGTCCAGAGGAAGAGAAGCATGTGGTCTGGATCATGGGGAATATTATTCTCTGGAGATGAATACTCAGCACGGTCACCATCAGGTCCAGTCACTCCTCTCAGCCTGAAGAAGGAGCTCCAGAGGGTCAGAGTGAATCTGGACTGGAACAGAGGAGAGTTGTCGTTCTCTGATCCTGACACTAACACAGGCATACACACCTTCTCACACACTTTCACTGAGAAGATGTTTCCATACTTTAACGCTGTGGGTGAAGTGAAGATATTACCGCTGAAGGTGTGTGTGACAGTGGAGCAGAGCAGGTAGAGATGAACGGGATCATTATATCTATGATGTTTATCTCTTAAAGCAGGCGTGTGCAAACTTTTTTCAAAGAGGACCGGATTTGATAATGTGAATATTATATCACAATTCTTATTGTCACAATTATCTTTATTTTATTCAAATGGCTATATAACTAAATATAAGCCACTAATGCAGGCGTGAACAACTCTAAAAACACGCTCTTTCATTCATACCTGGAGAGTCAGATAACATTGAACAGACGATGGTGTGTCAGAATCAGGTCAGACAAATAATAACATACATGCAGGACGGACCGTGGACATGCCTGTTTAAAGGGAAATACTCTGCTGTCTCTTTATTCTAAACATGTGTTTATTTTAGTTTCACTAATGTTTTTGTTATTGAGTTTGATAATCTGCTTTTTGATCATACTGTCAACCTTTATTAAATTGAAACACGTGCATTTAGCTGACACTTTAATCCAAGTAACATCAAATATGCTGAACTGCTTCCTTTAGAGGAAATAAGAGATATATATTCTTTACATCTGAAATGATCTCACCCAGATTCAGACCTTTATGTCAGGTGATAGTTTAACCTTCTCTGTTTTATTGAAACTATGTTGTTATCAATTGTTCATTTGTGATTTGTGCATGATGGGAAAATAAAGAAATAATATGTTTAATTCAACTGCAAGTTTGAGCAGCGAATCATTTCTCAGATCCAAAATAAAATGCATTTTAATTTCCAGTCCAGACAATATTGATTTTAAATCGTTGAAATTAAAGTTTTATTACATGCAATTTTTACATTTTAAACTTGTATAATCATATAAAACATACAGAGTTACTTGGTTTAAATTAACGCCCTGACAGACAGGGAATAAAATAAATGTTTTAAAGAGATTTCTAAGTATTTAAAAACGGAGTAAATGTTAAACCCAGTTTTCCCAGGAGAAGCCTAAACAGAGAGGACGACCCATTGCTGTTCAGCGTGGATTATCAAATGCACACGTTTATAAACTCTAAAGGATTTCATCTCAATCTAAAATACTGATTTCTTGGCAGCGGTGTGTTATCGAGTATTAACAACCTCTTCAACGTCCAATTTGACCAATCAGAATTGAGTATTCAGCTAAGACGTTTAATACAATTATAATATATAGTAAAATATTATTGGTGTAGATAAAGTAATGTGTGCACTACTTGAATATATAAAAACATGTATGTTACAATAGAGTTGTGCATTAATATTAATAATGATATCACTCAGATTATTAAAGCAGCAACAATCACATTTAATGAGAAAAAGCTGACACGTCTTCACTTCAGCGGGCGCCATCTTTAACCAATCAGCATCTCTTTACTTTCAAAGGCTTTTTCAGCACTTTAATGTTATCAGTAGTAACCACATGACTTAAAGGTCACATATTATGCAAAGTCCACTTCATGTCTCTTCATCATCAACATGTGTCCCCTCTTCTTCATGTCTCTTCTACATCAACATGTGTCCCCTCTTCTTCATGTCTCTTCTACATCAACATGTGTCCCCTCTTCTTCATGTCTCTTCTACATCAACATGTGTCCCCTCTTCTTCATGTCTCTTCTACATCAACATGTGTCCCCTCTTCTTCATGTCTCTTCTACATCAACATGTGTCCCCTCTTCTTCATGTCTCTTCTACATCAACATGTGTCCCCTCTTCTTCATGTCTCTTCTACATCAACATGTGTCCCCTCTTCTTCATGTCTCTTCTACATCAACATGTGTCCCCTCTTCTTCATGTCTCTTCTACATCAACCTGTGTCCCCTCTTCTTCATGTCTCTTCTACATCAACATGTGTCCCCTCTTCTTCATGTCTCTTCTACATCAACATGTGTCCCCTCTCTTCATGTCTCTTCTACATCAACATGTGTCCCCTCTTCTTCATGTCTCTTCTACATCAACCTGTGTCCCCTCTTCTTCATGTCTCTTCTACATCAACATGTGTCCCCTCTTCTTCATGTCTCCTCTTCATCAACATGTGTCCCCTCTTCTTCATGTCTCCTCTTCATCAACATGTGTCCCCTCTGTGTAAAGAGACTCTGAAAGTTTCAGGAACAAAGATTCTCTCTCTTTTTGTCCTGATCCATTTATATAAAAACCTGTCTGAAAATGAGCTGATCAGATTTTGGCCACTTGATGTCATAACGATGTGTTGGCTTGTGTAACCATTAGCCAATCAGCAACCAAGGTGCTCATTTAGGTCAGCACCATTCCCTCCACTGTGAACTGCATTTCTCCTGACCTGTGTTTCACACTGCTGAGGGAAATGACTCAGGCCTATAGACCAAATGAATCTGTCGCCTGCTGTGTCAGGAGAATTATAAAGGAAGAAATAACACAAAAAACCTAATCCAACCCCAATAAAACAGCAGGTCTGGTCTAAGAGGGTTTGTAATTAGGTTTGGGTTGTGTGTGTAGCGTAACATTACAAAACATATGGCATTGTGTGGCTGCTTTTTCCACTGTCTACAACACTATGGATGCTTTTCCTTTGACAGACACAGTGAAACGAATAATTTACCCAAGCAGATGTTCTCCTTTCTGTGGTGATTGGGTGTGTTTACATGCACATGATATTCCCTTTTTAATGTGGCATTGTTAAGTGACTGTTTTTAGGTTCATGCTTGTGGACTTCCATTTAATAACCTGTTTCTAATAACGCTTTCTCACCAAAAATCTGATTATATAGGGAAACTTGGTTAGATTTCCAGTTATTCGGGTACTGCTTTTACGTGTACAATGTGCTGTTTAAGCTAACCTTAGTAGCATGCATAGTTTTAGTTATGCTATTCTGTAGGTCAACAACAAAATAATACAAAATGGGCAGACTTGTTTTTATGGGGAAGGCTTTATCTGATCCTAAATCTGTTAACATGAGCACCCAGCTTGTGTAAATTATCTCAGTATTTACACCTGTGACATGTCACGGTGTCAGTCTGTCAGTAATCTGAAGAACACTTTATTGGACCATGACCAGGGGCTGGTTATATAACATATAGTACTGGTTTACATGGCAAACATCCATATTCAAATTCTCCTTATTAACATTTAGTGATCTAACTAAAGAGATGCTTCACCTGGCAAAGTTTAGGGATATCTGACTGGAAAGTTTACTGATTTAAAGGTAGTGACATGATACTGCAACTTGTACAAATACAGCACCATCTACTGGAAGGTAAGACGTACTGTACGGCATTCATTTCAGGTGAATGCATCAGGCTAAATTTAGGCAAATGAGTAATGTCTGAAGTGAGACTACAGTATGTGATACGTTAGACTCAAAGCTGGCAGACGTGCGTGTGTGTGTGTGTGTGTAAACTTTTTTCTTATTTTATCGTCTTGACCTGAATAAAAAAAACTCACATTAGTTATCCATAAATGTCCTTATTTGGGAGTTTTGGATTTTTCTAGATTCAATGATTTATACATTTGGTATACAACATGTCATATCTTTAAAGGTCTTGTTATTAGTCCCAAAAAAACACCAATATTCACTTTAAATTGAAATAAGAGAGAGAAATACAGTAAACCTACATATATTAGAGGCTAAAACTGCATTTACTTAAACAATTAATCCATTCTCAATATAGTTGCCGATTATTATTCTGTAGCTCGACTAGATCAAGATCATGTCTCACTTTTTTTTTTACAAAACCAACCCTTTATTTCCCTTGAAATCAGAGATCAACATGGACACACCTTCATATGTGGTTTACATTGAAAGAGAATAATCCTGGAGACAGTTACCATGATGTTTTAAAATGTCTTCCAAACACAGACACAAACAAAGAGTCCTGCTGAAGCTGCTCAAAGCCTTAAAACCTCAGTTGCCTGGGAACAGAAGGAAACAATCCCATGTCCGGCAAAGTGTGTGTGTCCGACACAACACTGAACACATGTCAGCTTTCTCCTCCTCTGACTTCAACAATCTATCTAGTTTTGATGAACACATCTCCTAATGGCACCTTGATGCGAGTGTCATTTTAAGTCTGGATAAAGATAAACAGGGAGGTCAAGAGAAATCGTGTTTCCGGAGTCCCTTTGTCTTTTTCCTGTTTTCAATGTGCTGGATCTAAGGAAGCAGTCGCCTTTAATGCTAGTAAGTAATCAAAGAGTTTCTTATGCAGTAATATGTGTAAAAAATACACCTGACCGTTTGACTTATTCTGAACATTTTTTCTCTGTATTTATTCTAAAAAGATATTTTTTTATTACTTTTCAAGACATTTATTAGAATATTAAGTTTTCTGAATTTTTTTTTTCTTTTAAATTATCTATTAAGCATCCACTTATTAAATGTGTGCCAATTTGCATACATTCCCAGAAGAGAAATGTGAAAATTGTTCTAAATCCAGGTTTAAATGTTTTGTTGACATATTGGAGTCAAATGAATAATGCATATGTCTTTTTTTCTGTCCGTAATTCCGAAATATGGTCAAAAAAATTTGATCAGGAAATGTATGATATTCCAATGCTAACTCTTGTGTGAAATTAGAGAAATACAGACT